TTTTGAGCTCTTGCCAGCTGGAGAAACGATCAATGCCAACAAGTATTGTCAGCAACTGGTCGAATCGCAAAGGAGTTCTTTTCCATCATGACAACGCCAGGCCACATGTTGCAAAACCGACCCTGGCCAAACTGAAGGAGATGAATTGGGATCCCCCATATTCACCCGACATTGCACCTTCTGATTGTCATTTTTTTCGATCGCTGCAGAACAATTTGAATGGAAAAAAATTTAAAGATGTGGAAGAGGTCAAAAACCACCTTGACACCTTTTTCAACGAGAAACCGCGCGATTTCTATGAATCAGGCATCCGTAAATTGGTTGAACGTTGGGAGTGGATTGCCGAACATGATGGCGAATACATAATTGATTAATAAAAGCGCTTTCTTCAAAAAATTTCAATTTTAGTTTGCACTTGAAATCGGGCACGAACTTATGCACTCATCCAATACCTTTAAAATGGCAAAAAGTTATCGCCCAAAACGACGGATGTATATTTGATATAAATCAAATAATTCTATTTATGGTAAAATAATGGATCGCTTTTTACTAGACCCACAAATGCAAATGTGTGCCAATTTAGATATTGACCAATAGAGTCGATATGTCTGTATGTATATATTTATTTGTAAATGGAATGTGCTTTTATCAGATGATAAGCTACATACGTATGTATGTATGTACATACTCACATTTAATCATTTCAATCATACATATTTACAAACAAATTGTGTCACATTATTGTTGTTTCGTTTATATTATTGGCAAACCGAACTGATTTACGATGTGCAATTAAGAAATTACAAAATCAATATAGAATAATCAGTTCAATATGCCTGCGACTAATCAGAAAAGGTGCAAATACAATTTATTGTTGGTAGCTAAAAGCCATTTGATTGTTAATAGACATACATATATCAAATGTGTATTTACACGTACAAATGATTTATTAAAATTGGTTAGGGAAAAAATAAAATAAAATTAAATAATATTCCCTCAAATGAGGGATAATTTAGCGAAGCTGATAAATATCCACCTAAAATAAAAATCGAAAATCTTTCTACGTCAGCGGGTTAAAGACTTTTATGAATACAACAAAAAAAAACAAGTTTTGGAATTTTTTTTTAGGTCGCTGAGACATACATACAATATAACAAACTTAACGTGCGAAATGGGAACGTCATATTTACATAAGATTACATATATACGCACATTTACTTGTTGACACATACATATGTATATATGTATTGGTAAACACATTCATTGTTCCGCATGTAAATACTGTAAACGCTTGAGAAAGCATGCCAAACAAGAGTTAAATGCGAGATACACCTCGATTACTTTTAGCTTCTCGATTACCGTTAAAAAGGTTGTGACTTCGTGTTTTAATTTCATACTTTAATTTATAATTTTTTTTTTTCTTCAGTGAATGAGTAGCTGCGATAATTTAAAGACTTTTAAATAATTTCCTTCAAGTAAAGAGGGTCCCCCCCCACTGATATTGGGCAAAAATCAGGCAAAATTTATATTTTTTGTTGAAGATGGAAATTTGTTTATTTTTTTAGAATTTAAATCGGCAAAAAAATAGTCGAAATTCAAAATAACGGTTACAAAATGGCGCTTTCCGTCGACCTCTGCGCGACAAACATGGCCCAACAACTCAATTACAGGCCACAGCCTCTTTTGGTAGACTAAAATCAAAAATCGTTGTCTTTACTTGAAGATCGTCAAATTTTCTACGCCCTGAGCCACAATTGAAACAATTTGAACGATATATTTATTGCACAATGTTCATTGGAATCATGAAATGAATTTTTTTTGTTGCTGTTTTCACTTAAAATACCTTAAAAATAATAAATAATTAATTCTTAATGCCAAGCTTAGCTTCAAGACGTATAAAACACTATATACTTTGAAGCAGTTTTTAGATAAAAGAAATCGGACGGATAGATGTTGTTGTTGTTGCTGTAGCGATTCACTAGTCCCGCTTAGGTAGAGGTCTGATCAATCTAAGTCACCGAGGTCATTTAATGGGAGATCCAGGAAACATGCTGCTTCGACGGGATTGAACCAAAGGGAAGAGGTGGTTAGTATCGTGCCGAGACTCTCCACATTCGGGGTATACGTTGGATAAGCTGAGGTCGAGTATGAATAAGTAGGAGTTCAACCTGCTACAGTATCCAGACCTAAGTTGTGCCAAGGTCACGCGGATCTATTGGATAGATAAAGCACGGCGCTTGAAGTTCAATCGGTAAACGTGGTTTCGGAAAAAACACTTTCAAATTTTTTTGAAAAATATTCATCGCATTGCAAAATCCCTTTACAAATACACGTATATTGCAATTTTGATCCAAAATCAGGGGAGGGTCCCTTCAAGGCCTTATCACCATACAAATTATGGAAGTTTTTAGCAAACTCTGCTGCATTTTTTACCCTTAAGAAAATATAATAATAATAAGTAAAATACTGCGAAGAACCCAATATATTTTACTAGAAAGCAGTGTCGACCAAGGGAGTCGCCAAAAATAGACCCTGAGTTGGCATATTTTTTGAAATGGATAAAATTGCATTGCGAAGCTACACGCTTCCCGCCAGCTGGCACAGTATTATAGAGCTACCCCCAAGACTGCCTAATCTGGTGCCTCAGTTCCAGGAAGCTGTTTTCAAACTACAATAAAGGCAAATGTCTCGAGAAAAGGTCTGAAATATGCAAAGGAAGCTGATGAGAAGTTTTCAAATGAACGAAGAATAGAGGACTTCCATTTACTGCGCCCAGCGGGAGATGGAAAAAGTCACTAAAGCTACCAAATTATTGCAGTATCTTCCAAGCCAAAATATTTGCTAAAAAAATGACGACGAAGCTACTGCAATGCGCAAGCTCCCAAAGGAAAAGAATACACATCTATGTGGATAGTCAAGCGGCTATAAAGACCTTATTTTTATACAGCACAAATTCAGCTGTGGTCCCATTATCTAAAAGCAAGATAAAGAAGCGATGCAAGTACTGTCTGGAAACAGAATAGTGTACATGTACTGGTTGTAAGGTCATCCGGACATAGAAGGTAATGACATAGCTGACGAGCTTGCTAAAGAGAGTGTTTATTTAGACCAGGACGCCGCATAGAGCCTTCCAGTTCAATTGAAAGATGTGAAGAAAAAGCAAGAAGTAGTACCCCCTCGTCAGGCGGATAAACTCTGGAAACGAACTAAAGAAGCGAGTAACGCAACTCACGAAATTCTCACTATCTTTAACGATGCCAGACTGCAGGCTGCTCATAGGACTGTTACAGGGCATTGTCTTTTGGCGTCCCATGCTTTTAATATATATAAGTCTGTCTGGGGACAAAAAATCTGCAGGAAATGCAGGTAATATGTGAGTGTACGCTAAGTAGCGTGTCTGGCCCCAAGGGTCAGCCAGCTTACTCCTGTTGGAAACAGATGAGAAGAGAAAGACCCAACTTAATTTGGTATATCCGATTGATAAGAAGAAGGAATACTTTTGCGTCAAGTGCCAATCTTAAAAATGCATTGATAAAATTAAACCACATCAATACACCAACACGAGTAACCGATCATAGCATAAAAAAAATCCCATCAATTAAGTCGTTAATAACACTCAACAATTAAAAATAGCAACCCAATAAAGTAAATAAACTCACAACCAAATTTTGACGACCCAAAACGTATGCAAATATTTTTTTTTTGTCTTTCTTTTTTGTTTTTTTTTTTTTGGTTTTTTCATTCATTCATTTTGTGATCACAGGAAGTCGCTAGAATTATTTTATTATAATTTTCTTCTTTTGCGCTCAAATATAAACTTAATTATTATTTAGTATTACTTAATACTACAAATATTTGACTTATTGTCGCACCGAGACGTACGCTAGCTGAATACGCAAATGCATATATGTATGGATGTATGTATGTATGTATGAATGTATGATTGTGCTTGTGTATTTATGTGTCAAATATTGTACAAATGCGTTTGATTCGAACCACAGCCAATGGGGCCGGAACGTTACAACACATTTTGCCATAAATTTGATTACACACAATTCAAACGCACTGTTTACGTGCTGCATTGCCAATTAAATGCTGTTGTAATATATGTGCAGCGGCGTTATGCAACTAAAAAAAAAATTTGCAGTCCACTTACATATAATCAGTAACAGCGCGCGGAAAAATTTATTTTACGTGGAAACATATATTTGTATATAAATATTATATGTATGGAAGAATTTATACTTATACATATGTACATATATGTAAGTATAACAAATAAAATTAATTATAAAAATATAAGAATAACTCTCATAATAAAAAAATATATTAAATGTACATATTTAAATACAAAGCGTAATACTATGGCTAGATATACATACATACATATAGAGTTAACTGATATTAAATACTTGCAACCGTAAATAAGTAAGTTTGTTTATGTTGTGGCAGGTAATTTGTTAAGTACGAAAATTCTTACACACAAAACAAAATACAAAAAAAAATTTTTTCTCTTTTTTTTTTGAAAAAATAAAGTTTTTAACAAATTTTCCTCTTGCATAAATTTTAATACTAGTGTGCAAATAAAGATATACAAAAAAATAAAAAAAAAATAAAAATACTGCAATACCACGAAAACGCTTGAATTACTTGTTAATAAAGCCATAATAAACACATAATTATTTTCGAAAATATTTTCTTTATAAACTAAAATCAGTCTAAGTAAAATTTGACCTTATGATGTACGGCGGTCGCGCTACTACTACCACTACTACTACCATTAACCACAGATGCCCCACTAACAATACTAATTTTACGCGTTGGTTTTTTCAACGGATGATGGGGTTGTGCATTTCGCCCATCATCATCATCATCATCATCATCATCGTTATTATCATCATTACTTTCATTTTCATAATGATTCAGATGATTGCCGTGATAAAAGCTGTTGACGCTATGACTATTGCTGTTGTTGTTGTTCATGATGTTGTTGTTATTACCTTCCAAACGTCGCAATAAACGATCCTGTTCGCTTTCACGCGGCGTTGTCGGCACCTCCTTATTCGGTGAATGTATGCCAGCGAGAAAAGTTTTCGTACTAATACGTGTCAGCTTTGTGGGCTGATGATCTTGGAAGATTTGTGAATTCGCAAAAACGGCCAATATTTCGGGTCCCAACATCGGCACGTTCGTTTGTGTTTCACGGCGATAGTCTTCTTCGTGGATTTTAGCATTGCTAAAAAAAAAAGCAAAAAAATGTAGAACGAAATTAGAAAATGATAATGAGTGATGAATTGGCCAAGAAAGAAAGATGTACCTATAAATGTTGAGACTTGGAAGGAAAGAAAATAATGGAAGGAAAAATTTTTTTAAGTTATCTAAGAATCATAGTCGCGTAAAAGTGGGTGCAATGTAATTCATAAAAAAAATGCCTAAAATTATGCTATGCGATATTTCTAATATTGGGTTGCCCAAAAACTAATTGCGGATTTTTCATATAGTCGGCGTTGACAAATTTTTTCAACGGCTTGTGACTCTGTAATTGCATTCTTTCTTCTGTCAGTTATCAGCTGTTACTTTTAGCTTGCTTTAGAAAAAAAGTGCGCGAAATTTTGTTTACATTTGTTTGTTTGGCGTCAATTTTAATATGGAGCCCACAAAGGAGCATTTTCGTCATATTTTACTTTATTATTTCCGTAAAGGAAAAAACGCGGAGCAGGTTGCTAAAAAGTTACGAGATGTGTATGGTGATGAAGCCTTAAAAGGAAGACAGTGTCAAAATTGGTTTCGCAAATTCCGTTCTGGAGATTTTTCACTTAAAGATGAGCCACGTTCAGGTCGGCCAAATGAAGTTGATGATGACCAAATCAAAGCATTAATCGAATTGGATCGTCATGTAACTGAGCGTGAGATAGGAGAGAAGTTAAATATACCAAAATCAACCGTTCATTATCACATAAAAAGTCTTGGACTGGTGAAAAAGCTTGATATTTGGGTACCACATGTATTGAAAGAAATTCATTTAACACACCGAATCAACGCTTGTGATATGCACCTTAAACGCAATGAATTCGATCCGTTTTTAAAACGAATCATAACTGGAGATGAAAAATGGATTGTTTACAACAACGTTAGTCGAAAACGATCATGGTCCAAGCATGGTGAACCAGCTCAAACCACTTCAAAGGCTGATATCCACCAAAAGAAGGTTATGCTGTCTGTTTGGTGGGATTGGAAGGGTGTCGTATATTTTGAGCTGCTTCCAAGGAACCAAACGATTAATTCGGATGTTTACTGTCAACAATTGGACAAATTGAATACAGCCATCAAGGAGAAGCGACCAGAATTGGTCAATCGTAAAGGTGTCATATTAGACCAGGACAACGCTAGATCGCACACATCTTTGGTCACTCGCCAAAAACTGGTAAAACTTTCGGCAATGATGAGGCTATAAAATCGCACTTGGTTCAGTTTTTGCAGATAAAGTCCAGAAAATGGCAATTATATATTTGATAAAAGTTCATTTTAAGTTTTATTACTTTTACTTTCTTTTAAAAAATCCGCAATTACTTTTTGGGCAACCCAATATTCTGGCATGAAAACAATCCCACGATTCGGCCGGCATAAGCAATAAGAACCTATTATAATGTATTTTGGAAAGTCAAACGAGGTGTGGAACAGTAAAACTACACGTACGTAAATATTACGTTTAGTCAAAAGAAATCCATTATTTTTCCTATACACGGCGTTGTATAAGTCCGATCGAGTTTCGCTAGATGGCGTTAGGAAGATGACATTTCGTATTAAAAAAACGTATCTGAGAGTTTTGTGATTGGCTGATTGAGTTTTGTTTGAGCGTGCGACAATGAGAAAATACGTTGATTTTACAGTTTTTCTTCGACATCGGCGAAAACTGAAGCCAGGCGGCTGAAAATCTGAATAGCGTTCAAGGTCCTAATGCTGTGACAGTCAATCATGCATAATTTCGGTTTCATTTCAGTAATTTTGATGTAAAAGAAGCTACAAGGAGTAGAAGCTCCATTGGCAAAAATGTCGATAAAATGATGGGCATTATCTAGTGCGGCCGTCATGTAAGCACTGTTTCGATTGCCCAAGAGCTAAAGATTGCGCAAAAACCCCCATTTAGATAAGGAAGAAACGAAAAGAAAAAAATCAAGCATTCAAAAATAATGGATTTCTTTTTACTACACCTATTATGTATGTATGTATGTCAGTTGTAATATTGTATATAAAAAGGTGTGCATCATTAGCGAAAACCTTAAACTACACCTTAAATTTCACTTGGCACGGGTAGCTACCTTAGAAAGCCGGAATTATTACGGCGCAATGGTTGATTACAAATTGGTACCGTTAAGTTATTATTATCCGATATTTGTATATGACTCAGAGCGCTGCCATTTTTCTGCATCGACAGATAGTCGTTATCATCTTCGGGATTGTAGTTGGCTGAAAGATGTGGTAATAGAAATTAGTAACAATCAGGAATAAAGGCTATATACATTTTTTTCCATTACTTTAGTTTATTTTATTTTAATATATTTAAATTTAATTTTTTAGTTAAATTCATTTTATTTTCTTTTTTTCTATTTTTTGTTTTTTTCATTACATCATATTATATTATAATATATTGTATTATATTATATTATATTATATTTTATTTTATTTTATTTTGTTTTATTTATTTTATTTTCTTTTATTTTATTTTATTTTATTTTATTTTATTTTATTTTTTTATTTTTTTTTTTGTATTTTTTTTTTAATTTTTTTATCAATTTATTTTTACTTTATTCTATTTCATTTTAATTTTAGTTTTTACATTTTTGTTAAACCTAATTAAATTTCATTTTATTTTTAGTTTATTTTGTTGTGTTATTCATTTCCAACTATTTTCTTTGAATTTTTTTACATATTTCTAGAAATAGATTAGTTACTTAAATGTTAAGTGGTTTATTTTTCCACAAATCAATTATAAAACCAATATACACGTTGTACTCGATCACGTCCATCGATTCGGTGGAAAAACTAAATCGACTTTATTCTAAAACACGTACTATACAAATCATTACAGTGCCTCATTTGCTTAAAATTCTCAAATCGCACACATTTACTTGCCCAGCATATGAAAACCACATACTACATACATACATACGTAAGTAATGAATGAGCCATCAGACGACAGGCAGCCAGAAAACAATAGTAATCATTATACGTTATAACAAAATCGTGCATTAACTTTTACCGTATTACCGTTGTGAGTGATTCATTGAGCTAACATTGCAAAATAAAAGCTTATACTTGTATTAAAGTAAATATATAATATGTACATATGTGTTATAATAATTGCATTCATTGTTGTTGCGGTTGCTGTTGCTGTTGGGTGAAATGCAATATGGTATTTTTAGTAATAATTATACGAGTATACCAATTTTTTGTATGCATGCATTTTAATTATTTACATATTCTGCGGCTTGAGAAGTTGTGTTAAAAGTGAATGAGGTAAATAAGAGAAATATTTGCTTACAGTGAAGCGAGGCTATAGTGGACCGGAAATGTATTTCTTTATCAATTTTAGTTATTATGCATAAAAATAAATTTTTTGTGTTCTCTCCTAAAATATGGTACCAGCCTGGAGTCTCAAAACAATACTCTTCTGCATAGGTGCATATATATAATATGTAAGCTTTTTCTAAGGTCACTCGGCCTAATTTAGTGGCAAAAAAATTTTGCATGAACTTTTCATTTTAACAACATTTTTATATACGATACGATACGATGTAATTGGATTTTTCGTTCCTGTTTTAGCTATAGACCTTAATTTCAATTTTAATTAGATTTACGGTAATTAGTTTGAAGTGTGCGCTAGAAGGAATACTTGAAATATATATTTATTGTCAATTATATTGTTTCTTTTCAAAAACTATTAAAAACATGCATTAGTTTCACATAAATTATAGTATATTAATAGATTGCGTCGTGTGTGAGACATGGAAATTTTTATCTTGAAATTGCATATTTTAAATTTTTTTTTTTCATTTACAACTTTAGCAACTTTGCCACTGCCATAAAGACAGTTATTAAATACAACTTTACAACTTTTTCGTTTATCTGCTCACTTAGTTTTATCTACTTTTTTCTAGCTTCATTTTGATAATGCTTTATATATATGCCAGCGAGCAAAAGTCATAAAATAAATATGAGATCTGAAGTTATGAAACCCAGAGTAATAAAGTACTTCCCACATAATTAATTAATGAGACTTTTCTCATTATTTTCAGTTATGTTTAAAAGTAAATTATTCATGCAAAGATGATTCTTTACAATATAACTGGGCTCCATGTCTAGCATTTTTTGTGCTTTTTCATCCTATAATGATTTTCGGGCAAAGAAAAACGATGAAGTCCTGTTCTAAATTGGCTTCAAGTTGCCTTTTTTGTTTACTTATTCCTCCCATTATGTCTCTAAATATCCAGATCGATAGACTCCTGTTCTAAAGCGGCTTTAAGCTGCCTCTTTTGTATATTTAACCTTTTTGTAATAGCTCACTGGATAGAAGCAACCCTCTAAAAATCGAGTTCGATGAAAACCTGTTCTGAAACGGCTCTAAGTCGCCTCTATGTAAACATATTCTGCTCGTAAGGGCTCTCTGAGCAGAAGAAATCCTCTAGTTATCCAGATCGATGAAAGCCGGTTCGGAAACTGTCTAAGCTCTACTCTAAGTTGTCACTTTTGGATACTTACTCATATATTGACTTTCTGGGAAGTGAAAAGCTTTTAAATTGCAAATTATCTGCTACTTTGACTTAAGCTTTAGAATGTTCTTTTTACGTACCCTTAAAAGCTCCGTGGTCCCTTATGGTGGCTTCAGATTGATATATACTTTCTCTTGTCGCAAAAAAAGGTCACTCAATTTCGCATTTATTTATTTATTTTGGTTCTATACGATTCTCCTATAGTAGCGGCACCAGCTGGAGAAAATGGAGTTATGATTTCTCTTCAAGAGCTCGAGCAAAAGTCAGATCTTTGAAGAAAAATGTATGAGGAAATGCAGTGAAATATAGAAATTGTACAGGAAGCATTGGCTTTTGACCACTTTTCGTTGCCAGGATACAGCAAATTTAAAATGGTTTGCTTCTCTGGTAAAGTGGTATACAATTTTTTGATCCCCGCCAGGAATCGTTTCTGGATCCGCCACTGATCTACTATCTACGAACTTGATCACCATTTTTTTACCATTTTTTTTTTACTTGAAATCATTGAAAATGAAAAGTGGAAAAAACGATTTTAAAATATAAAAAATTATCTATTGAGCTATGAACCTTCTATAAGCTAACGGGTATTATAGCTATAGTATTAATTTGGGTAGCTTAATTATATTCAAGTGTCAGCTTTTTGTAAATACTATTTAATAAACTTAATATAAAATAAAACAAAAAAATCTATTTTCTATATTCTTTAAAATTACAAGCCAAGTTTTCGACAAAATCGATAATATTTAATGATTTTTAGTATAAAGACCCTTAATTAAAACTCCCAATATTTTCGAATTGAATTAAGAACATTTTCACACATTAAATATTATGAAAGCCTTAAGCTGCTTGTAAATTAGTTTAACTAATTTTAAATTGATGGAATAAACGATGCTTCACTGTTTGCTTGCCGGAGTATTTACCCATGTGTGTATATGTATAAGTATGCGCATGAATTTTTGTAAATTTTCAACTTATTACTGCATTTTCTAACCACTTTAATAATTCGTAAAGAGCTGACTAAATTCCAAGAGTTCCTGCGACAGTCGAGTATACATACATATATATATATATATATATATGTACATCGTAACGACCGGATTGTTTTCCAACCATGAACTGTCGCTCCTGAAATGTTCCCGAACGAAAATATACGGAATATTTCTGCGGTTACCACAACAACAATAATAATTAGTAATTTTAGCTTGCTTGGCCAACACTTTTAAATAAATATTTATGACTTTAAATAAGCTATAGCTACAGCGCTATCACTAACTGCCCGATATCGCTCACTTTCGTAGTAATGACTTGTACATTGTCTCGTGCAATGTATTAATCACACATACACTTAATTATATGTTAAGTAATCAATTGTCTTTATAATATAAACTTTTCCCAAATTACTCAGTTTTATGTTCGTTATCTTAAACGCTCACAGGTATGCATGTACTTTTGTTTATTTTGCTTGTGGAATTCGTACAACAGAAGCCGAAATTAAATTAAAAAAAAATTTTTGCTTTTGGATTATGTTTTCTTCATCATAATTATGAAATATTGCGTTATTTTTTAATATGTTTTTGTTGTAAACTGTTTGCTTAAAATTTTAAGTGGATTACTGTACCGCTTTTGAGTTATTCTTTATTTTTATTTTTTATATTACTCATTTTGAATTTTAATTTCAATTGTTTTAATATTTAGAATTAGTTTTTTTATATTTATATTTTTCATTTATATTAAACGAATTTCAATTTTATTTTTGGCTTTATGTTTTTTTTTTAATTTATTTTTTAATATTTTTTTTTAAATTTTTTTTAATAATTTTTTTTTTTTTTTAATTTTATTTCGGTAATATTTTTGTTGAATTTTCTTTACAGGTATTATTTACTATTTTTACTAAATTTTTGCTTACAATTTTTTATTTAATATTTTGCTTTATTTATTTTATTTAGTATTTATGATTAGCATAATTTACGAATAATATTTAACAGATATAATTTGTTTTTATCAAATTTTTATTTTTTTTAATACTTTATTTTTTTTTAATATTTGTTCCTAATGTTCTGCTTTTCCATAATTTTCAAAAATTTAATTGCCGCAATATTTGCGATTAATATTCTTTAATCTAATCTAATCTAATTTTTTCTACTATTTTTCCCTTTTTTTTTATTTAATATTATATTTCATTTTATATGTGATTCCCTTTCTTTACAGGTTTTATTTGACATATTAAATTTATTTAAATTTTTTATTTACTCTTTGTCATTTTCTTTTATTTTTTACTTTATCTGCTGCATTATTGTGACTAGTTTTTTTTATATATTTTTTCATTTTTGTTTTATATTAGGCTTTAATTTTACTTCAAATTTATTTAGATTAATATCCTTTACAGGTTTTATTTGATATACTTGCTTTCTGTTTTTATGATTTATTTTTATTTAATCTTTGATAATTTTCATTTTTAAAAATGATGCATTATTTTCCATTTTTTAGTTTATATTATGCTTTAACTTTATCTCTTAGTTTTAATAGCTTATTCTTAATAACTTTAATTTTTTTTTTTAAATTTGCTTTATATATTTTCTTTTTTAAATTATTTACTTATTTTAAATTTTATTGTGAGTAATTTCCTTCATATTTTTTTTAATATTTTCCCATTTGTTTCCTGTCCACCTTTTGTTTTATATTAAACTTTGGCTTTTTCTCCAAATTTTAATTGCTTGAATACCTGTGTTTGATTTTTTTCAAAGGATTTACTTGAAATTTTTGCTTTAAAATTTTTATTTAATAGTTTTCTTTATTTATTTTCTTTCTTAATAATGAAGCTGCTTATTAAGAAAGGAAATTATTAGTGAGTAATTTTCTTTACATTTTTGTTTTCTAATTTGGCTTTAATTTTTGTTACCGATTTTTAATTCTTTTAATTTATTTATCTTATTTCTAATTTGAAACGTTTTAAAGTTTGTAAATAATATTTTTCATATTTTCTAATTTAATAATGCCATGCTATAATAATAATTTTTAATATAAGTACTAAGTAAATTAAAGGCCTGGTTTGTTTATATGGAAATATTCGATTCATACAAGCAAACCAGGCCTTTAGTTTATTTTTGTTTTATTTACGTTTTTATTGAAAATTTTATATAAAATTTGTGGTTTGTTCTTAAAACTTTTTAAGTTTACTAATTTTTTTGGGTTTAGTATTTTTATTTCACATTTTGCTTATTCTTGTCTTATGTATTATTATTTTATTTACATTTTTGTAAATTTATTTACTTTCTATTATTGTTTTGTTCATATTAATTATTTTAAGTCTGAATTAATATTTGGCTGCGATAACTTTTTTTCAACTTTTATGATTTTTTGCTTTTTTTTAATATTTTGTTTTCATTTCATTTTAATTTTCAACTTTTATTTTTTAATTTATTATGTTTTTTTATTTTTTATATCTCATGTTGCATAATGTTGTTTGTGTGTTAGTTTTATTTTGATGCTATTTTCGCTTGTATAAGTATTGTTTATCACTGCTGCTTTCAACTTACCGATTGATTCATCGTAGCAAAATCTCTCCTCAAAACAGTTCCACTTGAAGTCCTCCCAGCAGCTGTATAATTTATATTTGTTATTAATAGCATTGCAGATTTTTTTAATACATTTTTTTTTTTTTTTGTTGGAAGGGAATAAAAATAAATTAAAAATGTTGTACATATGTTTATGCTTATGTTTTGGTTTTGTATGCAATAATAGCGTGAAAAGTGTAGGAAAGCACTCACTACAAGCTTCTTTTATACCATTTAATAGTTTATAAAAGAGCAAAAATACTGGCACTGGGTACTCACCTCTGGCAGCAGCGACACATTTTTCTGTTATTGCAATATTTTATTGATGATGCTGTTGTTGTTGTTTTTTGTTGTTTTTGCTGCCTAAATACGGAATATGCTTTATTTAGCTATCTGCTGCCGTGATCCACGAATGCACGCACTGTCAGCCGTAGCGTTTGCTGTCTCCGACGTAACTGTTGTCACACTGTAGTGTGCTGATTTGGATATAGGGACGTTTGACTACTCAGCGCTCAGCTAGTTTCATACATATGTATGTACAAAAAAAAACACGATATTCAATGTACACTGTCTCCGTCGTTATTATAGGAAGAAATTCTCGTTTCGTTTGCCACTTTGATATTTTCGTGTGGTCGTGCACAGTCAGAGTCAGAGTCAGAGTCAGAGTCAGAGTCTTCGCCAAAAATATTTCTCGCTTATCGCTACCGCGTGCGGATTTATTACGTAGACTCGCGTAATTCACTTATGATAAATGCACGCTTACCACCACCATTAGCTAGCGTTTTTACTTTTATCAGCCGAAAAAAGTGCGCGCTGCTTTTTTTCACCTTATAAAAAACTCAATGGCGCGCTTTGGGCTAAATGACGTGGTACATGGAATGCTCAACTGCAAACAAAATATACGAAGAGAAAAAAGATATTAAATTTTCTAAAATATCGGTCGTGGCTATAATGTGCACTTATAGAGCAGAAAGCCGAGAAAACACAAATATACATATATGCATAATAAGCTAACACATACACATGCACAATATATAAAGTCCAGTGCCAGCTCATACGTCACCGCGTCGGCTACCGTTTTGTTGCTGTTGTTTCTGTTGCTTTTCCACACTTAATACTGAATTAAATTTTTTTCCCCACAGTCCGCCACCTGCAGTTATGCGCTGCCTCTGACGCCGCTCGTGCCGCCAACCAAGTATTTCGGTTTTTTACTACCTGTGCCGTTTTATGTGGTTACAAATTGCCACACAACTAAGCGAAAAATCTCATTCATGGAATTAATCGAATTAGCTGTTGCTTGCTACTCGCGTTCCTTGCCATACGTTAACATACATGCGATATGCGGTCACCACCACCGTCTGCATGACTCGCTCTCTTCGTACTGTTTTTACAATCGCCGCTACGCAGGCATTTAGCAGCAATATGTTTGGTATGACTGGAGCGCGAGCCAACTTGCGCCACCACTTGCTCACTCTCCCCATACAAAAAAAAGCACAGACACACACAGTTGAGGTGTGAGCGCATGGCCGGCAAGTTGGCGAGCACCACAACGCACCGGTTTAACACCATTCTTATATATTTTGCTGCGCAAGCATTTCATTTTAATTTTTCCTTCCCTTTTAAACGTAATGCTTTATATTATTATTATTTTATTATATATATTACGCTGATAAACAACAATTTTTGTTATCACACACATTACTTTTTTAACTTATATTTACATTGTTATTGCCGCCTTGAGTGTGTTGTTTTGGCTGTTTCCGCAGCTCTCGCTTTTCCAATTGACTTTTTTTCTACGCTGCTGTGTTGTAAGTAAAGTCGAGCTACGATCAACTTGAATGTTTACAAAGCACTTGATGCGCTCTCAATATTGTGGAGAGCATGTGAGCGGAAACGTACATTGGCATGAAAAGGGTGTGTGCGTGTATGTGCTGCATGTGTAAATAAAGCGTCGGAATGTCTACCGGGGAGAGCAATAGCAACACAAATCCTAACGCGCAATTCATTGAAAAGAGAGACACTGCACAGTGACATGTTGGGGGAGAAGTATCGTGTAAAATTGCTGCATCATTGAGTTGATCGATCGTTTAAATTATTTAAATGTGAATATTGAGAAAACATTAATTCGAACAGCCGAAAAAAAATTTATTGCGATGACTATTCGATAGAGAATGTCAACCCCGATTTTCCAACAAATGGAGGGACCTACAATTTATACTAAGCCGCCTCCAAACGGCTGATGTTTGTTTTTTTGAGGAGCCTTTATATTATCGCTGTAATTAGAAGTTTTAACTTAATTTTTCATTTAAATTCATGTTCCATAAATTTTGTATATTGGTAGCACCGAGATATGAAGCCGAGGCTTCCGAATGTCTGTACGCAATGCCATCCCCTCGGCTACCGCGGCCACCGCAATTATACATAAGTTTACCTAAAACAAAAAAAAAAATATTTCCATGTGAGGTCTGTACTGAAATATAGCCAATACAGCCTTACTTTCGTACTAATACGAAGTCAGTAGTGCTAGCGAAGAATAAGGTCTTCGAAGACAATGAAATCGTCCATAATTTGTCTAAGTATGGAGTTCTTTGTGTATAAAACATATTTATGAGCTTGCTAGTCTCCCAGAGAAGTGAAACGAACAACTGGTTATATTAAGACCTACTAAGTTCTTACATGCAGTTCATTCCTCTTTGGCGTCACATGTACAATATTAAAATCATTTTTAACATTGAGGCTAATAAATGAAATGTAGGTAATATGCGGAGACAATGACATACGTAACATGAGAGTTCCCGGTAATCGGTAGTCAGAGATTGTTCGTATTTGTTGGAAAAGAGCTGATGATGTTTAATCGGCAAAGAACAAAGCAGCAATGTCCTTCAAAGTAAAATCACACGTTTAACAGTACACAACATGCATGGTATCGTCTTTATTGGTTTTGCCAAGCAGTTAACTACGTTAATATAACTTAGCCTAAGTACTAGTATGCTAATGATTAGTAGTTTCTTTTTTGTGGCTTTTGATACCAATGGGCTAAACTAATAGTTTCTAGACTATTACCTACATTTTATCAGCCGAAGTGCATGCCCTCAGCGAGCATAATAAAAAATCTAGAGTGTATGCCCTTATCCAGCCGACCCAGCTTGTCTTTCATAATAAGAGTATAGAAAGCAATATTTCAGATTGAAAAATAAAAACTTATTCAGTTCAAACTTTTATTTGCATATATGCCTACACGAGTCCACTGTACAGTCATGTGCATTGCATTGCGAACAAGAGAGGCCACATATACACTTGCATGTTTTTACTCTCCCGCTTTCCATACAAGAGAGCGCTCGTACGTAATGGAAGACATGATCGTCATGGCCACAGGTAGATTGAATGCCAAAAATGTCTAACTCTTTACCAGGTAAAATACTTAACTGCTTATATTAAAAGGTAATCAGAATGAAGTATACTTCTTGGCGCAAGCTTTTTGCCAGGTAAAAGAAAACAAGTAATTGGCGTAAAGCATCATAAATGAATGATTTCAATTAATTTACTGAAAATACAGCTATATTTTAATTATATTTAATTAACTATAATTTAGAAATATTATAAAATGAATTATTTATTACACGGAACATCAATTAACAGCTTTTATTGCATACAAAAAAGACTGAATGTCATAGCAAGCTAACCTGTTTTAGCGCGAATTCGCTAGTTGTTGCTAAAATGATGGCAAATAAAATTAGTGAAATTAAACCACAATGGCCATATGTTTCAAATTATATGCAAATGGGGTGAATAAAAAAAATACATTTAAAATTCAAGTTTTTGAGCGACGAAGTTAATTTGCACCTCTCCTACCAAAATTTTATTAAGCAGATAGTTATTTGCCATAAAAGTGATTTTATAACGTATATTTAAACGTTTCGCGCAATAAATCTGAATAAACGAACTTCAAATTCAAGTTATTACTATCAACTTTCAGGAAGACTGACGTGGATTTTGAGGGCCAATTTTTTATTTTTATTTTTTTGAAATATTTATGTAAATATCTTTTTTCATTTAAGATAAAATGTACAGCAAAAGCAAAAAAGTGATATTTCTGTTGCAATTTCTAGCAACGAAAATTTTTATTTGTTTTATACTTTTTTCAAAACAAATTAATAACTTTGAATATAATTATCTAAAAATTTGTTAATTAAAAAGACAGCAAGAATACAAAATTTATGTAGAAAAAATATAGCTTTTTGTGAATATTTTTCGCGCATTTGAGCGCTTAGCACCGTTAAAATAAATTACTCGGGGTAAGCCGTAGATCTACAATAGAACATTTCAAACTTAAAACAAATGGAAAATATATTGATCTAGTCTCTCTGATAAATATAAAGTATACAACTGTCCAACTTAGCTGCCAAACCAAACATGTTTTGTTTTAGTTGAAAGTCAGGTATTTATGAAACTGAATCGCTTAACAACAGCATAATGTGTTAAAGTTGTTAAAATCTATAAATAAATAAATGTTGATTCTTTAAGAGAAGATTATGGTGAACTTAATCGCCCAACACACATCCATATCAAGTTTAGCTCACACAACAACTGAAGCAAACTGACCATTCACAACATCATACATAAGTCGATTGGACAGTGGACGTCATATTTGTTGATCAAAAATTTCTTCAGCAACGAGGCACATTCCTCGCCCAGAGAATACGTAAATAAGCAAAATTTTAGGGTCCGAGAGTTTTAAAATAATTGAAGAGAGCCCGTTACACCCAACAAACGACCCTTACAGTCTCAGATCGTATGATAACCGACTTTTTTCAGCTGCATTTGAAAAACACGACTTAGAGAATATGTGGTTTCAAGAAGATTGCACCAAATGGCATACAACACCAGCCACATAACATTGCAAAAGATATTTCGCAGCCGCTTAAGCTCTAAGCTTATCGATGTCCATTGCCCAACGAGATTGTGCAATTCGGCACCGTTGATTTTTGTGAAACTATGAAAAATACTGCGTTTATGCGCTTAATACGTTAATTTTTGAGCACTTGAAAAGTAACATTCGTCAAGTTATGTTCGAACGTCGAAGTTTTCAAAATGCTGCCAAGGTTCAAACTTGTCAATAAAAAAAGAATTCCATAAATATTAATGTCAATATTATTTTAAAAGCATTTAATTTACGTTAATCTTCTTCTTCATTTAACTACTGTTCTTCATTAAAAACGATTTATTCTTCTAATAGCAAAAACCAAAAATCGAAATTATGTTTTTATTACAATTTTTTATTTTTTGTATATTTTTCTTTTTTGTATTAAAATTTATGTATTATATTTTTAATAATTTTTTTTTCAATTTTTTTATTTTTATTTTTACTTCTTTTTGCTATATTTTTTTGGTATTATTCTTTTCTTTTTTTTGTATTAAAATTTTTGTATTATATTATTAGTATTTTTTATTAAATTTTTATTTTATTTTTCTTTTATTTTTTTGTTATGTTTTTTTTTTTTTGTATTATTATTTTTTTGTATTCTTCTCTTCTTTTTTTGTATTAAAATTTCTGTTTTATATTTTTGATTATTTTCTTTTTAAATTTTATTTATTTTTTTTTGTTATGTTTTTTTTTGTATTATTATCTTTTTGTATTATTTTTCTTTTTTTGTATTAAAATTTATGTATTACATTTTTAATTATTTTTTTTTTTCAATTTTTTTATTTTTATTTTTACTTCTTTTTGTTATATTTTTTTTTTTTGTTTTTGTATTATTCTTTTCTTTTTTTGTATTAAAATTTTTGTATTATATTTTTAATAGTTTTTTATTCAATTTTAATTTTATTTTTTTGTTATGTTTTTTTTCGTATTATAAATTTTTTGTATAATATTTTCTTTTTTGTATTAATTATTTTTTTTTATTATGTATTTAATTATTTTTTTTTCAATTTTTATTTTAAATTTCTTTTATATTTTTTGTTATGTTTTTTTTTTGTATTATTATTTTTTTGTATTCTTCTTTTCTTTTTTTGTATTAAAATTTTTGTTTTACATTTTTGATTATTTTCTTTTTAATTTTTATTTATTTTTTTTTTGTTGTTTTTTTTTATTATTATCTTTTTGTATTATTTTTTTCTTTTTTTGTACTAAATTTTTGGATGATTTTTTTTTTTCAATTTTAATCAATCAAATATCTCTTCTCCATAGTTTATTGATTTGAAAAAGAAGCAAGCAAAATTGTGTAGTTTATGGCCTTTGTTTGTCTTCCGCACCACCCCAGACGGCTTCACAGACCTTAGTAATTTGCATATTCAAATTAAACAAAATAAATAATGAATTTATGAATAAATAATGGCAAATGATTACTTTTGGTTAAACTGTGTCGAAAAGCCTTTAAAAACGATAAACAGAAATATTTTAAGGTAAAAACAGCTTATAAATATTAATAAAATGAAATACGTGTGAACGAATCGGCAACGATAGCGGTCTACTTGACACGCAAACGCATACATGTTTATTTAAATAAGGCGAATGAGTCTGCTCTGATTTATAGCAAAAGTTATATAAAAAATCAAAATTCTTATGTAATTTTTTTCATGAAAGTTTTGGTCA